ACTAAATAATATCTGAATACGTAAGCACCTGTAAATATTTGAATGTAACTCCCACATCTGAGTAGATACATCACTATATTTGGTATCAATTTAAAGGCCAACCACTCCTCTTGGATATTCTATCAACTCCTCGGGTCTACATCCTCCAGGAGTAAATATATATGCCATAGAATACAAATTTTGTCATTTTTCACACAAAAGTCAGGGTCCATTTGAGCCGCTAAATATTGACCGATCTTTATCAAAACATGCATGCTTATTCTCTGGCCCGATCCCCTTCTCCATGCAAAAATTCACAGTGTTTGGGCCATAATTGCGGCCTCTGGAGCGACCAGAAAAACCGACAAAAATTTAGTATTTGGTCCATTTCATCCCCTAAATATTAACCGATCTTTTCCAAAAACAATAGGGGTCTTCATTGGCCAGAACCCATCCTACATGCAAAATTTCGATTGGTCCATAACTGTGGTTTACAAATTATAATGGACAGACAGACGAGCACACATATCTAGATCGATTCAGCTAGTCGAGATATGACGATCGGTATACTTAAAGGTATGTCTAGGACCAATATTTCGCGGCGTTACAAACATTTGGGGCTGCACAAAGCTATAATACCCTGACAACATAGTTGTGTAGGGTATAAAAATGTGGTTGCTGTGTTGTGAAAATTAGTGTTAGGTATTTTGAATGTTATGGGAAGTTATTAATTTTTTCTTAAATAAGCTACAGATGTATGAATAATAATATTACATGACAAAGAAGTAAATTCACATAGTAACATAGAAACAAAAAAAGTTATGTAAATTCGATGTAAAAATCAACATTCCATAGTTTTGTGTTGAGTTATTTGTTTATAACCTACAACAAAATAAGAAATTAAAAAAAATATAGAAATATTATGGTTAGCTACCAAATAGGGTCAATTATGATGATAATGTAGACTGAGATATATGTATTTAAAAATTGTTATTCACTTATAAAAAAAATATTCAGAGGAAAAAGGTTGGATTTCATAAATAATATAAGCAAAGCGTATTTTTTCGACAATATTGTGTTATTTAAATAAGTCGGAAAAGTGACGATTTAAGGGAATTTAATTAGTAGCAAATATTTCTTCAAAAACCCACAAAAAGAGAATTTAAAAAAATATTTTTTAGGACCAACAATGCTTCGATTTTTTAAAGATTATTTTTTGAAGAGCTGTGAAGAATGAAGTTTTTAATTTTGCTAAGACCAGCAAAGCGTGGTCCCTATACCTATACCAAAATTCGTGCAAATCTAAAGATATGTAGGGACTTTGGTGTGCCAATTACATAAAATCGGACGAAATATATAAGGGAGATATATCTAAATCTGAACCGATTTTTACGAAACTTTGATCACATTATTTTAGACTTAATTCACTACGCTATGACACATTTCGTGCAAATCGAGCGATTTTCAGAGACTTTGGTGCACCAATTACCTTAAATCGGATGAAAATATATATGAAAGCCATATCTAAATCTGAACCGATTTGCACGAAACTTAGCACACATCACTCTAGACTTCATTCAGTATGCTGTGCCAAATTTTGTGCAAATCGAAGAATATATAGGACTTAATTCTAGACTTAATCCAGTAGGCTATACCAAATTTCGTATAAATCAAAATATATATAGGGACTTTGGTACACCATTTACCTCAAATCGGACGAAAATATATATGGGAGCTATATCTAAATCTCAACCGATTTTCACCAATTTTAATAAGGTTCGTCCTTGGTCAAATAAATGAGCTGTGCCAAATTTCATCGAAATCGGATTATAAATGCGACCTGAACTTTGCTTACAATTTAACATCAACGGACGGGCGGTCGAACGGACATGCATAAATCGACTTAGAAAGTGATTCTATTCATATTCTCAAAAGAAACCGTGGGTCTATCTCGATTCCTTTTGCCTGTTACAAACATATGCACAAAGACATAAATACAGTACAAGACCACTGTGTGGTGAAGGATATAAAAATAAACAAGTGAACAGAGCAGTATAGTCGGGCGGGGCCGATCATATGACACCCTACACAAGTTCCTGGAACATCTAACTTTCTGTGGTACTACATTCTTGACTTGGGCAATATTTCGCGATGTTTGCATCTTCTTGACCCACTAGAGGTCAACAAATATTACCAATATTCAGTACAGTCCTTCTATTTACTTGTCCAGATTCCCTTCAACGTGGGTTGTTTTTTGATGTTCGGCTTTCAAATGTGGCCTGTAGATCGACTCGAAAAAACAAAAACAAAATTAAGTTGTCGGTCCACTTCATCCCAATGATCATCACCGAAAATGATAGGCGTTGTCCTTGACCATACCTGGATACTAATGGAAAATTTCAAAGCGATGAGCGCCATATTTCCGCCCTATAGTGTTGTAATGGGTTACTAAATAATATCTGAGTACGTAAGCACCTGTAAATATTTAAGTGTAACTCCCACATCCGAGTACATACGACAATATAATTGGTGTCAAATTTAAAGTAAACCACTCCTCTGTGATATACTATCAACTTCTTGGGTCTATGTCCTTCAGAAGTAAATATATACGCCATAGAATAAAAATTTTGTATTTTTTCACACAAAATTCAGAGTCCATTTGACCCGCTATATATTGACCGATCGTTTTCAAATCAAGCATGCTTATTCTTTGACCCAATCCCCTTCTCCATGTAAAAATTTGCGATGTTTGGGTCATAATTGCGACCCGTGGAGCGACCAGAAAAACCGACAAAAATTAAGTATTTGGTCCATTTCATCCCCTAAATATTAACCGATCTTTACTAAAAACAATAGCGGCCTTCATTGGCCAGAACCGGTTCTACGTGCAAAATTTGTAGGACCGTGAAGATTGGTCCATAACTGTGGCCTGTATCGGGTTTTTACAAAATATAATGGACAGACGGACGGACACACATGTCTAGATCGACTCATCTGGTCCAGATATGACGAAATATTGGACCCACTTAAAGGTGGGTCCAATATTTCGCGGCGTTACAAACTCTTGAGGCTGCACAAAGCTATAACACCCTGACAACATAGTTGTTTAGGGTATAAAAATACTGCATTTCAGCCAAAAACATTTTTCTTTTTAACTTTTTAGAGTATTTATGAGAAATTCAATAGGTTTCGTACACTTTCGTACACTCGCTGGTACACAAATATTCATCGGGAACTTCATGATTATCGAATATGGAGGGGTTAAAAATAAAATGAAGAGTCCTAGGAAATTTTTCAAAATTAAACATATTTTTAAAAAGAAAAAAAAGATGTTTTTAACTTTTTAGAGTAGTTATAAGAAATTCAAAAGGTTGCGGATTCATAACGACACGATGGTTCACAAATATTCATAGGAAAATCCATGATAAGAAAAGAAATTATGTTTATTTAGCCATGTCCGCCAGTCTGTATTTGTATGACAGGCCTTTGTGTGAAGCCCTCTTATAAAGCCCTTTTACAGGGTTTTATATGGTCCTAGGCACATATTCCAATTTCTTGACGAAAGTAATTAAATAAAAGTCATTTTTCTATCCCAATTTTCCATTTTATTAAAAAAAGAAAACTCCAAAAACATTTTAAATCTTGTTATAATATTATTTATATGGAATTTAACAAGTTGCGTATACATAACGACACTAGTAATACGCGCCATGGTACACAAATATTCATCGGAAACTCAATGATAGGAAAAAATCCTGTTAATTAGCAAATTATTATTATTAGCAAGATAAATTTTAACAAATTCCCGGACTTATAATGTACATTTCTTACAAAATAATTTATAAGGTTTTTTTGTGGGAGTTGTTTTTTGTTTTGGAAATTAATTTTTATAATGCGTTAATATAAAACATTATTTTAAAAACTTTTTATGGGCCTTTATATCCTAAATGATAAAATTTATAGGTGTGAATATTATAAAAAATATGTCTTATTCTTTTAAAAATGATTTTATTATTTATTTAACTTCTTTTTTGACGCTGATTTAAAAAAAAATATATTTTTTACAGACTGGAATTTCTTAAAGAATTGGGATTTCTTAAAGAATTATAAGCGGGGATTTTCAAGTAAATTTTTGTTGGCGTAGTTTTTTATTCATTATTTTTTTACACTGATCTTTTAAACAATATATTTTAAAAGATTTAATATTTTTTTAATTTATAGCGTGGATTTTATAAGAGAGTTTTTGAAACGTATTTGACGGAAATATAGCTATTGTTCACGATTCTTGAAAATGTATTTATAAGTCAATTTTTAATCTAATTATCCTCCCAATTGAAGTCTAATATTTAATAAAAATTTTTATATACAATATCAAAAAATATAATTTTTATACATGTTGATATTATACAAAATATTTTTATTTTGCTAAAAAATTACTTGTTACAAACCATTTTTTTTTTTTTTTTTTTTTTTTTTTTAAATAAATAAATTTTCAATTTTCCAATTTTCCGCCCAATTTTTTTTTTATTATTTGAAATGGTTTTTATATATAATAAATTCAAAAAAATACCATTCGCATTAAATTTCCTAAATACGGCTGCATATAATTTACATACAAAATACCCCACAAGTATTTTAATTGCTCTCAAAAAACTCCATCATCCTGTTTCCCAGGCACAAACCATAACATTGCACATACAAACATACATATTACCTCCCTCTTTCTGCTAATAACCATATATTTTGTTATTTATATATAAATATAAAAGCAAGCAAACAAACAAAAGACTTAAGCAACAAACGTGTTGCACAGCTAAATCACAGACACAGGTATCCATCCACATACACATATTTCAGCTCAATATCAATAATTCAAAGCAAGCGAAAAACTACAACAACAATAAATTCAAAACAAAATGTAACCAAAAAAATGGATTTGCTCTCCAAATTAAACTTCATTTGATTGCTGGTGGTTGCAGGAGTAGAAGAAAAAACACGCTAAACTCTAAGCTATTACTTACAAATTTCATATTGATGGTTGTGTTGTTGGTTTTTTTGTTTGTTGTAGCGGCTGGCTAGCTGGAGCGTTGATGAAGTGTGGAGTTGACTTGTAATCAAGTGTAATTAGATTTGAATTTCTTTTGCTTCGATTTTTTTGTGTATTATTATTTAACACTTAAATTACTAATAATTGTAATTTTTTTTTGTTATATATTTTTTTCCAAATTGAATTTTTTTTTCGGACAGCAATTTAAATAAATTATAATTTTTTGATAACACTTTTATGTGGTTGGAATTTTTAAAATATTTTTTGATTTATTTTTAATAATTTTTTATTAAATTTTGTTATTTTTTTATTTTTTTGGACAACTAACAAAATGATATTGTAGTAATCACAAAATTTCAAAATTGTTGTTGTATTTTTTTTACACGAAACTAATGTGGCCGATAAAATTTGTTAACACTGCACCTCTAATTGCAAGAAAAAAAGGGGTTTCGCAAACTTAAAAAAAGAAAACCGAAATACAATTGATTTTCTTTACGAGAGGTAAAAAATTGTATTGAATTTTTTTCTAATTCGAAATAAAAAATAATAACGTAAAACTGAATCGAACGTTATTAACGCTAACAGTGAGTGCTAACTATGGAAGTAAGACGTTTAATGAATTTCAACGGATATGCTTTGTTGGTTTTATATTTAAGCATTAAAACATTCGCTCATTTTACAGAATGAATTTAATGCTCAAAATGTTAAGATTTGTGGCTCTCCAACATGAGTGTGGCAACCCACCACAACACCTTTAACATGAGCTTGAACACAAAACAAGAGCACTCACTCATGTTTGATAAGAAACCACCAATACACAGAACTGTTAGGTTGTGATTTAAATGAGCAAAGCTCTTTGTAATTGAGTTAGAGAGAGAATATTGAGTGATTTTGGTGACCAACACACAGAAACAAAAACAGTAAACAGATAAATGCATTAGGGGTGAAATTTGAGCAAGTATTCCAAAATTTACTTTCTGACTAATAGACCTATAGGTGAGGGTTTTACAAAAAATATTTTATAAAAATAATAGTCGTGAATTAAAAAAAATAAATTTAATGCATAATTTTTTTTATTCACAGATTTTCTTTTAAATAAATTTCTTTTAAATAAAAAAATTCTTCTTCTTTTAAAAGTAAAAAAATGGTAAATATTGAGTTTTGAAAAATATATTCTAGAAATAATATTTTTTTAGAGATAGACATTTTTATAGGTATAGAAATTAAGAAAATATTTTTGAATATGCGTGGATAAAAAAATAAAGGCCTAGATTTATTAAAAAAATATATAGGCGTTGATTAAAAAAGAATAGGCGTAGATTTATTAAAACAAATTTTATACAGACGTGGATTAAAAATATAGGCGTAAATTTATTAAAAAAAATAATTTGTATATAGACGTGGATTAAAAAAAATTTTATACAGGCATAGATTTATTAAAAAACTGTAAGGAAAGTTCAAAAGTCGGATGGGGCCGACTTTATGATACCCTTCACCACTATGGGTACATAGAAGATATGTTAATATCTACAATATCCTATATATAGAACAGTCATAGAATCTTTGGAGGACCATTGATATTTGAACAAATTGAAAAAAACCCCATTCACATACAATTCTGAAAGCAACGAAAAATTGCATGGATTGGATTCTTTGATGTACCATATGAAATCCTGTAAAATTATATATGGGAGCTATATGTAAATCATTTGTGTTTTGTTATCACTCTATATTCAATTTAATACCATCTGCCGAATTTCAAGTAAATCGAAAAAACATAAGCCCTTCGGTGCACCATTTACATAAAATAGAACGAATATATATATATATATATATATATATATATATGACCTACATCAAAATCTGAACCGATCTCAACAACCTTTATCACAGATCATTTTTTCCACAATTGCATTCGCTATGCAAAATTTTGCTCAATCGGACAAATATTGGGAGTTTGGTGTATCATTTACAAAAAGTCGCACGAAGCTATAAATGAGAGCTATATCTAAATCTGAACCGATTTTAACAAAACTTCGCGGACATAATTCAGTACTCTTGGTGCATCATTTACATAAAATCGGACGAAACTATATAAGTGAGCTATATCTAAATCTGAACCGATTTTCTCCAATTTCAATAGGGTTCGTCCTTGTGCCAAATATGTACCACATTTCATCCAAATCAGATCATAAATGCGACCTGTACTTTGTTCACTAAAATACATGGACGGACGGACAGACGGACACGCGTAAATCGACTTAGAAAGTGATTCTATGCATATTCTCAATTCCAGTTCCTTTTGCCTGTTACATACATATGCACAAATACAAAATACCCTGTACCACATTGTGGTGAAGGGTATTCAAATATAGTAGAAGATTTATTAAAACAATATTTTTATATAGGCGTGGATTTATTAAAAAATATATTTTTATACAGGCATAGATATATTAATCCAGTTAGGAAAGTAGTAAAGTCGGACGGGGCCGGAGTTTGGTGCAGGTTGTACTAACTTCAGTACGTTGTGCAAATTTTCTTTAAAATCGGACGAAAATATATGTAGAAGCTATATCAAAATCTGAACCGATTTCGAGACTTGGTAGACATTAATTTATATTAACCACAGTTCATCGTACAAAAAATAGGAAGAAAATATATAGGAGCTATATCTAAATCTGAAGCGGAACTTAGCACATATCATTCTAGACTTAATTCAGTAGGCTATGGCAAAACTCGTGCAAATCGAATAATATATAGGGACTTTGGTTCATCATTTACATAAAATCGGGCGAAAATATATATGGGAGCTATATCTAAATCTGAACCGATTTTCAGGAAACTTAACACACATCATTCTAGACCTAATTCAGTACACTATGCCAAATTTCGTGGAAATCGAAAGATATATAGGAACTTTGGTGTACCATTTACATTAAATCGAACGAAAATACATACGGGAGCTATATCTAAATCTGAACCGATTTTCACAAAACTTTACACGCATCAAACTATATATAGACCTATATCTAAATCTGAACCGATTTTCACGAAACTTAGCACACACCATGGTAGGCTTAATTTAGTACACTATGCCAAAATCCCTGCAAATCGAAAGACATATAAGGACTTTGGTTCACCATTTACATAAAATCGGACGAAAATATATATAGGAGCTATATCCAAATCCGAACCAAATTTCACGAGACTTTGCATACATTATTCTAGACTCAATTCAGTACGCTATGCCAAATCTCGTGCAAATCAGGGACTTTAATACACCATTTACCTAAAATCGGCCGAAACTATATATGGGAGCACAAAGACATAATACCCTGTGCCACAGTGTGGTGAATAGTATACAAATTTTTCTTTTATATTTATTTAATAAATAATCATTAGGCTTGGATTTTTAATCCAACAGACTTGATTTTAAACATTGAAGCCACATGGATTTTTATTTATTTAAAAAATAAGGTCAAGATTATTTTTTCCAAAAATATTTTGCAGAAATTTATTTCCTCACATGTTTTCACATAGATTCTATGTAGATATATGTTTCGAGATAGCCTCCATATTAAGGCCCCATTTTCAATATGAAGAAGGTTTCAGCCAACTCTCCGAATGGATAGGCTGCAATTCTGTATTCCAGGTTCTTGAAGTGCTAAAATCTCTTTTCTATAAAACGGTAAATACAGACACGTATTCTGGCATGGACCATATTATAAATTTTTAATTGATTTTACAAAATATTTTTTATTGAAAATAAATACATTTTTATTAAAAAAAATTTTTTTACAAAGTTTTTAAAAATATATTTTTTATAAAAATTATTTTTATTAATATTTTTATATAAAAATAAGTGTAATATTTCTTTAAAGACATATACTTTTAACAAATATGCAATTTTTAGGCTTTGTCTTTTATAGTCATTGATATTTGCTCTTTTAGACGTGTTTTCAGAAGAGTTTTTATTGCAAGCAGTTGACAACATTGTTTCCAATGAGCAAAAATATTTCTACTTGAGTTACTGAGCTATTGAGTGATTTCTCTCTCATACATCTAAGGGATGCTTTAATGGAGTAAAGTTCTCCCAAAAATTTTTCTCATTCGAGATGTTTACAACATTCTCTTGGTTGTTGATTACATACTTCCAGAACTTGAGTGTTAGTTAATCTTGTAGTTGACAACTTTTACTTGTTGTGTAATAGCTGTGTTGTTGTTGTTGTGTTTCAGAATCTGATTTATTCATTTATTTCACTTGACGCTGTTTATTCACACGAACTACCCAGCCACGTTGGTAGCTGTAGGCCTTTCACGCAGTTGTTGTTAGCGATTTGTTGTTGTTTTTGTTGTATGTTGATAATTGCTTAAAGTGATTGTAATTTCTCAGAACAAAAATTCGACTGTCCTTCGATGTGGTGGAATACGGAAATAATTTTCTCAGAACATTCTAAAGAAATTTACAGCACCAAATAAAAAATAAATTATGAACATTTTATTAAATATAGATTGAAATATTATTATTTTGATGTGGATATTATATGAAAACAACAATGAAAAAGATGGACCAAACCGAACCAATGGATCTATATAGACACCACAGGTCTTTATAAAGACCTCTCAATATAGACCACAGGTCTTTATAAATACCAATTGGTCTATACAGAGACCCCAGGTCTTTATAAAAACCAATTGGTCTATAAAAAGACCACAGGTCTATACAGATACCCTAGGTCTTTATAAAGACCAATTGGTCTATACAGAGACCCCAGGTCTTTATAAAGACCAATTGGTCTATGCAGAGACCCCAGGTCTTTATAAAGACCAATTGGTCTATGGAGAGACCCCAGGTCTTTATAAAGACCAACTGGTCTGTATAGAGACCACAGGTCTTTAAAAAGACCAATTTGTCTGTATAGAGACCACAGGCCACCAATTATTCTTTATGAAGATCACAGGTCTTTATAAAGACCAATTGGTC